TAGGAACGTTCTCCACTGTGATATAGACGATGTGATGGTTCCTGATATAGGAACGTTCTCCACTGTGATATAGACGATGTGATGGTTCCTGATATAGGAGTGTTCTCCACTGTGATATAGACGATGTGATGGTTCCTGATATAGGAGTGTTCTCCACTGTGATATAGACGATGTGATGGTTCCTGATATAGGAGTGTTCTCCACTGTGATATAGACGATGTGATGGTTCCTGATATAGGAGTGTTCTCCACTGTGATATAGACGTTCTCCACTGTGATATGTGATGGTTCCTGATATAGAAGTCTTCTCCACTGTGATATAGACGATGTGATGGTTCCTGATATAGAAGTGTTCTCCACTGTGATATAGACGATGTGATGGTTCCTGATATAGGAGTGTTCTCCACTGTGATATAGACGATGTGATGGTTCCTGATATAGAAGTGTTCTCCACTGTGATATAGACGATGTGATGGTTCCTGATATAGGAAGTGTTCTCCACTGTGATATAGACGATGTGATGGTTCCTGATATAGAAGACGATGTGATGGTTCCTGATATAGAAGTCTTCTCCACTGTGATATAGACGATGTGATGGTTCCTGATATAGGAGTGTTCTCCACTGTGATATAGACGATGTGATGGTTCCTGATATAGAAGTGTTCTCCACTGTGATATAGACGATGTGATGGTTCCTGATATAGGAGTGTTCTCCACTGTGATATAGACGATGTGATGGTTCCTGATATAGGAGTGTTCTCCACTGTGATATAGACGATGTGATGGTTCCTGATATAGAAGTGTTCTCCACTGTGATATAGACGATGTGATGGTTCCTGATATAGGAGTGTTCTCCACTGTGATATAGACGATGTGATGGTTCCTGATATAGGAGTGTTCTCCACTGTGATATAGACGATGTGATGGTTCCCTGTGATATAGACGATGTGATGGTTCCTGATATAGGAGTGTTCTCCACTGTGATATAGACGATGTGATGGTTCCTGATATAGGAGTGTTCTCCACTGTGATATAGACGATGTGATGGTTCCTGATATAGTGTTCTCCACTGTGATATAGACGATGTGATGGGTCCTGATATAGTAGTGTTCTCCACTGTGATATAGACGATGTGATGGTTCCTGATATAGGAGTGTTCTCCACTGTGATATAGACGATGTGATGGTTCCTGATATAGGAGTTTTCTCCACTGTGATATAGACGATGTGATGGTTCCTGATATAGGAGTGTTCTCCACTGTGATATAGACGATGTGATGGTTCCTGATATAGATATAAGTGTTCTCCACTGTGATATAGACGATGTGATGGTTCCTGATATAGAAGTGTTCTCCACTGTGATATAGACGATGTGATGGTTCCTGATATAGAAGTGTTCTCCACTGTGATATAGACGATGTGATGGTTCCTGATATAGAAGCGTTCTCCACTGTGATATAGACGATGTGATGGTTCCTGATATAGAAGTGTTCTCCACTGTGATATAGACGATGTGATGGTTCCTGATATAGGAGTTCTCCACTGTGATATAGACGATGTGATGGTTCCTGATATAGGAGTGTTCTCCACTGTGATATAGACGATGTGATGGTTCCTGATATAGGAACGTTCTCCACTGTGATATAGACGATGTGATGGTTCCTGATATAGAAGTGTTCTCCACTGTGATATAGACGATGTGATGGTTCCTGATATATGGTTCCTGATATAAGTGTTCTCCACTGTGATATAGACGATGTGATGGTTCCTGATATAGGAGTGTTCTCCACTGTGATATAGACGATGTGATGGTTCCTGATATAGGAACGTTCTCCACTGTGATATAGACGATGTGATGGTTCCTGATATAGGAGTGTTCTCCACTGTGATATAGACGATGTGATGGTTCCTGATATAGGAGTGTTCTCCACTGTGATATAGACGATGTGATGGTTCCTGATATAGAAGTGTTCTCCACTGTGATATAGACGATGTGATGGTTCCTGATATAGGAGTGTTCTCCACTGTGATATAGACGATGTGATGGTTCCTGATATAGGAGTGTTCTCCACTGTGATATAGACGATGTGATGGTTCCTGATATAGGAGTGTTCTCCACTGTGATATAGACGATGTGATGGTTCCTGATATAGGAGTGTTCTCCACTGTGATATAGACGATGTGATGGTTCCTGATATAGAAGTGTTCTCCACTGTGATATAGACGATGTGATGGTTCCTGATATAGTGTTCTCCACTGTGATATAGACGATGTGATGGTTCCTGATATAGGAACGTTCTCCACTGTGATATAGACGATGTGATGGTTCCTGATATAGAAGTGTTCTCCACTGTGATATAGACGATGTGATGGTTCCTGATATAGAAGTGTTCTCCACGGTGATATAGACGATGTGATGGTTCCTGATATAGGAGTGTTCTCCACTGTGATATAGACGATGTGATGGTTCCTGATATAGAAGTGTTCTCCACTGTGATATAGACGATGTGATGGTTCCTGATATAGGAGTGTTCTCCACTGTGATATAGACGATGTGATGGTTCCTGATATAGGAGTGTTCTCCACTGTGATATAGACGATGTGATGGTTCCTGATATAGAAGCGTTCTCCACTGTGATATAGACGATGTGATGGTTCCTGATATAGAAGTGTTCTCCACTGTGATATAGACGATGTGATGGATCCTGATATAGAAGTTTTCTCCACTGTGATATAGACGATGTGATGGATCCTGATATAGAAGCGTTCTCCACTGTGATATAGACGATGTGATGGAATGGTTCCTGATATGGAAGCTTAGATATGTTCTCCACTGTGATATAGACGTGATGGTCTATATGAGTTTCTTTGGTTTCATGATCCTATATGGTTCTCCACTGTGATATAGACGATGTTCTATATGACTGGTTCCTATTGATTTGTCATAGTTTGCTGTGATATATTGGTTTCTGTTTGGTCGCGTTGATATACTGTTCTGGTTCCTCTTAGTTTGCTGTGATCTATACAGGTTTCTGTTTGTGATCTATATGTGACTGGTTCCTCTTAGTTCCACTGTGATATAGACGTTTCTGTGATGGTTCCTGATATGTGAAGTGTTCTCTTAGTTTGATTTCTATTTGGATGTGATGGTTACTGTGACTGGTTCCTCTTAGCTTGCTGTGATCTTTGCAGGTTTCTGTTTTTGGTCGCGTTCTATACTGTGACTGGTTCCTCTTAGTTTACTGTGATCGATACAGGTTTCTGTTTGGTCGCGTTCTATACTCTGACTGGTTCCTCTTAGTTTGCTGTGATCTATACAGGTTTCTGTTTGGTCGCGTTCTATACTGTGACTGGTTCCTATTGATTCCTCTTAGTTTGCTGTGATCTTTGCAGGTTTCTGTTTGGTCGCGTTCTATACTGTGACTGGTTCCTCTTAGTTTGCTGTGATCTATACAGGTTTCTGTTTGGTCGCGTTCTATACTGTGACAGGTTCCTCTTAGTTTGCTGTGATCTATACAGGTTTCTGTTTGGTCACGTTCTATACTCTGACTGGTTCCTCTTAGTTTGCTGTGATCTATACAGGTTTCTGTTTGGTCGCGTTCTATACTGTGACTGATTCCTCTTAGCTTGCTGTGATCTTTGCCTCTTAGTTTGCTGTGATCTATACAGGTTTCTGTTTGGTCGCGTTCTATACTGTGACTAGTTCCTCTTAGTTTGCCGTGATCTATACATATTTCTGTTTGGTCGCGTTCTATACTGTGACTGGTTCCTCTTAGCTTGCTGTGATCTTTGCAGGTTTCTGTTTGGTCGCGTTCTATACTGTGACTGGTTCCTATTGACTTGTGGTGACATATACTGGATTTGATTGGTTTCTGTTTGGTCGCGTTCTATACTGTGACTGGTTCCTATTGATTTGTGGTGACATATACTGGCTTTGATTGGTTTCTGTTTGGTCGCGTCCTAAATTGTTACTGGTTTCCCTTGGTTTGTGGTGATCTATACAAGGTTCTGTTTGGTCGCGTTCGGATCGATCTGTACAGTTCTTTATTGTTACTGGTTATGTTATGTCGCGATCTGTAATGTGTTTCTTGATATGACAATATTTTGATTACAGGATCGTGATGTGGTTGAGGTGTAGTTTGCTCTTTTTTGACGTTTGCCTTTATATAATTACATTTGCGTTCGTTTGTAATATTGAATCCAAGATTTCTGGACGTTTAACTGTCTTATACATGCACTTATCTGATGTGTATACACTTAGTTGAAATGATCCTTTACTACCCGTTCGTATGTGAATGATGTTTTATGTTGTTACTGTCTCCTTTTGTAGCGAGGCCTATATGATAAGTCTCACTGTCTCCTTTTGTAATGAGGCCTATGTGATAAGTCTGTCACTGTCTCCTTTAGTAGTGAGGCCTATCTGATAAGTCTGTTACTGTCTCCTTTTGTAGCGAGGCCTATGTGATAAGTCTGTCACTGTCTCCTTTTGTAGTGAGGCCTATGCGGTAAGTCGGTCACTGTCTCCGTTTGTAGTGAGGCCTATGTGACAAGTCTGTCACTGTCTTTTTGTAGTGAGGCCTATGCGATAAGTCGGTCACTGTCTCCGTTTGTAGTGAGCCCTATGTGACAAGTCTGTCACTGTCGTTTTGTAGTGAGGCCTATGCGATAAGTCAGTCACTATCTCCTTTTGCAGTGAGGCCTTTGTGATAAGTCTGTCACTGTCTCCTTTTGTAGTGAGGCCTATGCGATAAGTCTGTCACTGTCTCCTTTTGTAGTGAGGCCTATCTGATAAGTCTGTCACTGTCTCCTTTTGTAGTGAGACCTATATGATAATTCTGTCACTGTTTCCTTTTGTAGTGAGGCTAGTGTAATAATGATATGCATTACTAACACCTCTGTTTAGTCTCCATGTTTTGGATCATTTGGAACAAAGTGAAATGCCAATATTCAAATATGGTCTTACATGAGAATAAAATAAAATGAAAACAATAACATTCCAGCATTACATTATAAAGAACTTTTAATAATGAGATGATGTAAACAAAAAAAAAACAAAAAAAACAGGCAAGTTAAAACATGAGCAGCATAGCAAAATATACTAATATACTTGTATGAACTTTCCATCATGTAAAAAAATCTCTGCTTGTAGGAAACAAAACCGAGGTATACTGAAACTAATTATACAGAACAACCCATAATATAACCACATCTGTACAGTTAATCATAATATGAATAGTGTATATTTTGTATTGAACATATGACTATGACCTTATATTTATCATCTCAATCTATATATCTATATCACCCAATATTTATATATTTTCTTGACTGAACCTGTATAACAATCGTTTGCATTCACAGATCATTAGTCACAGAAAGCAATGATTAAAATTTGTACTAGTAATCAATACATGTGCAAAGGGAAGTTAGGACCCTTGCATAATAATTAACACATTATGAGAAGTTCAACTCTCCCAGCAGACTAGTTAAAAAGGCAATTGATGGTGTAATGTCACATTGGTCATGAAAACCTGTATTTCATAAAAATAGGTTTTCGTCACACTTCTAGAAATATGTAAAAAATCCTCTTAATAAGATTAAATTTCTAACAAGAAAAATAAAATACAAGAATATCAAAGAGATTTTAAGACATCTAAGTAAAAGTCAATGCCTGCAAGCTTCAGACGAGATATCATAGTTACCATAGATATCACAGCAAGACTGGCAGGAACAAGCTAGCTTTGTCCACCAGGCTAACATATGATTTAATTAAAACTCTAGCCACAACTTGTAGCTATTGTGAGTGAAAGATAACTGTATTAAGTTAACATGGAAGGATCTGGAAGTTTGGAAGGGAGAATATTGGGTCTTAGACTCCTTAATATCTAGAACATCCATAGACAACCTGTACAAGGATCCTTAATATTAATATCTATAATAATATCTTTCCACAACCTGTACAATTACTATCTATGTGTCTTCTAAAACATTACAGTAAATATTGAATCCAAAATTTCTAGGTCACTGATCTATTTGATAGACTTTACTTACAAGGTTACATAGCCACTTGTAAATAAACACTAGCAGCTTGCTTATTGAACACATCGGTATTTACACCATATATACATACAATTTTTAAACATGATGCACTTTTATTTCAACTGATTTTAATTGCAACATGTTATATTTATCTATATACTTATTGGTTAATGTTTTAATACATGTATATATCTTAAAAAAGTACACATAGCATGAGCAGGTTGTAGAATCATAATCACTGATAATCTCACAAGAATACATCACTTCTACACCCAGTTCTTCTCTGTACAACCATCATCATCTTTGCCCATTACTGTCTCATATGATGGAGGAAGCTCACCTCCTGCCTTGGGGTCATGTGGACGATGTACATGCTGACCTTGACCTACATTAGGGTTACTTATAAGTGGAGTTTGTACATTACCCCCATGGCTGTAATATACAGCTTGACCTTGTGAATAAGGTACAGGTTGACCTTGACCTTGAGAATAAGGTACAGGTTGACCTTGTGAATAAGGCACAGGTTGACCTTGACCTTGTGAATAAGGTACAGGTTGGCCTTGACCTTGTGAATAAGGCACAGGTTGACCTTGACCTTGTATATAATACATAGGCTGTCCCGGACCTCCCATAGGGTAGCCAGGGTAACTTGAAACCCCGATCTCTGGCTGAAAGGGATGTGCAGGTTGTTGTGGTCGATTGGACATCTGAATGAGTGTGTTAAGTGTCTGCTGTAGAGTTGTAATTTTTGCCTGAATGTTCATCAAATTGACTGCATTACCTGCTCCTTGTCTTTGAGGAACAGATGCTACCTCTGACAGTTTTGTCTGTAGCTCTGTGATGTAGCTTTGCAGTTGTTGTAACTCCTCTGCGCTACATGGGTTTCTGTCTGGGTATTGTTCCTGCAAATTTAGTATGTGCTGTATGGCAGAAGTATCACGTTCCACCTGGACCAACATCAGCTGTTGATTATATACACCAAAGGGAGACTTGTACATACAATAAACAACAATGGAAGCCAATGATGTCACTCCAACTACAATGCCAAACAAAATAAGGAAGATCGCAGAGCTCTTCACTTCAGATCTGTAGCTAACACATTGTCTAAAGTCTGTGGTGAAAAATGAGTCCTCGTCAGGGGGTGGACCAGGATCCTTAGAACAGGTGCTGAAAGCGCTGCCTGCAAACGCTGAGGCAATTATACATTGTCCCAAAGCAACAAAGCTCAGCAAAAAATTGGCTATCACCTGAAATATACAACAATAACTCTTTGGAAAATGTTATTCACTGATTCAACCTACTGCATGTAAACCCTGAGGCAATTACACATTGTCTCAAAACAACAAAGCTCAGCACAAGGGTGATGTTGAGGTGTGGTCTCTTTGCAGAAGTTAGTGGCTATCACATTGCCATCCAGATTGTTGTCTTGCTCAAGGACACAACCATTACAGCACAGACCACTCAGATTCTCATCTTCTGAGGAACACAAACTGTCACAGATAGGGTAAATATCAAACTGCAAACCTCAGTTCTCCACCTGGGTTTGGGAAGGCCAATACTCTTATCATTTAAAAGGTGGTCAAGTATGACATTTGACCGTTTAATTTTGACTGATGACCACCAAAATCTGTTTTACAAAACATGTTGGACTTCATCCCATTCCAGAAACCAACAAGACAATTATCATGATTCTTTGACCTTCAGTTCATCAAAAAAAAACTTGTTTGAGCAACTTAACAATCTTACCCCTGTTTAAACTTATATACAATTCAAGGCTGTTTCTTTTCATAAAATGTGTTGTGCTTCATCTAATCCCAGGAACAAACTTATCAATTATACTGATAGTCTTTGCCTATTAGTTTAACAAATTTTACCCCTGTAGCCTTAAGTCAAAGTCATTTTTTATGCAAACTTTGCTGGATTTCATCCCAGGTATCTACCAATGTAATATGACATTTTGTGGTCTTTTAGTTATGGAAAAGAAGTAATTTAAAGGAAAATGCTGATGCAAAATTGACAATGAGTGCAACACACAGTATAAACACACTTTGCCCTATGATGCAGGTACATTCAATAGTAAAAGTAAAAGGATTCCTGAGGAAAAGAAAATAAGTATCTATTATTTTTCAATTTCAGTATAATCTGCCCTGCTCTTTAATGTATCTCTCGTATGACCATGGCTTCACTGTATCAGATCACCCATGGAAAATCTGGTAAATCTATACTTACAAGAGACTTGGAGCATCCTTTCCCCTCTGATTCCACCATGGTCCTTGAGGCACAATATTCACATAATCCACCTGCAAACCCCTGTCAAAAAATACACCACAGTGTACAGAATTAAAAGTCAGAATAAATTTAGATGTGATTAGAGCTCAATGATGTTGCCTTTTCTGATTTATTGTAAACTTTAGCACACTGGCGAAGACATGAAAATCATGAAAAATGCTATTTTCAGTTCATGCAATATCAAGCTCTAGAGTAAATTCTTGATAGCCTAACCCTCCACAAAATTTCAGGTTAGACAGTTGAGACACATTGATGATATTGATTCCTTGGTAGTATCATCAAGCTAGGAAAAGATCCTATTAATTCCTCAAGGGTGTACTCTGTGACTGCGACAGTTTTACTATTAACAAATAATCAAAGTACTAAAATAACTGAAAGGCTAAACATGTTGATAAGATATATATATATTTGTAACTTTAAATGCGAGTTTTAACCAATTGCATGCAAAAAAAATCAAATGCTTTTATAGATGATGACTTTCAATAGCAAAATTTGAAACTTTGAACACATTTTCCATAAAATAAGTGGAATTTCAGTAATATGTACAATTCAGTGAAGCAGTTTAAAGTTCCAAAACAGGTTACTACTAGCAGCGGTAATGGATATTGGGCCCAAAACAACATCAAAGCTTTAAAACAGATTATAAAGGGATTATTTAGTTATTAGTTACAATAGTCCAAGTCCAGGTACTGTTTATGACATTGGTCCCTGTAATTGTTCACCACATGTGATGCATGTGAAGGTGCATAATTATAAATTTTTATGACACCAAAGTTTGTTGTAACAAGAGGCTCATGGGCCTTAATGGTCACCTGAGGTCTTCAGGTATTTAAACAGTATTAGAACCTGTCCATCAGTTCCAGCATTGGGGCAGACTGAACAGAACTGATTTGTGCATACTTACAAAGTTTCTTTTTTTTTAGTTTGAAAGCTTAATTTTCAATTACATGGAACTGATACTCTCGCCTAGCAAAATCGCTTCCTCTTCACCAAAGAAAACTTAAGACCAAATTTGATAAAATCATTCCTACAAGAAGAGTAAGATCTTAAAGAATTTGATCTGTTTCCCATACTGGGCTTCATCCTTCTGGTCCCAGGAGGCCAAGATCTATTTCCCTTCACCTAAGAATGCTTCAGACCAAATCCAATCATTTCTACATGAGGAGTAGATTTTAAAGAATTTGCTTTATTTCCCTATTGTTCCCCACCCCTCCTGCCCTGCCTTGCCCTGCCCCATGGGGCAAAGACCAATTGTTTACACCAAATTGATTTCCTGTCACCTAAGAATGCTTCAGACCAAATTTGGGCAAGATTCAATCATTCCTACAGAAGAATTAAGGTTTTAAATAATCTGCTCTATTACCCCTATTGGGCCCCATCCTTTCCATTTCAGGAGGTTGAGACCCAACTTTTACACAAATTGATTCTCTGTCACCTATGAATGCTTCAGATTATATTTGGGCAAAATCCAATCATTCCAATCCACATGGAGTAGGATCTCAAAGAATTTGCTCTATTTCCCCTATTGGGCCCAACTCCTCCTTCCCAAGGAGGCCTAGACCAACCATTTATACAGAATTGATCTCCATCACCTAGAAATGCTTCAGATTAAATTTAGGCAACATAAAATCCTTCCCAAAGAAGGAGTAGGATTTTAAAGGCTTTGCTCTATTT